GAGTGTCCATACACAGCTGGCCGGTCTAAGGTTGACGCCCACCCTGCCTGCAAAGAGGGTGAATGAAGGGGAGAAGAAGCCTGGATGAAGGATAGCGTATTTATTTGGGTTACAGGTCAAGCCTTTGAATGATGTCATGCAGGTCACTGACATGACTCCAGCCAACTCCATCTAAGAGCAGCTTATCTTTCTTCCTGGTGTTGATGCTGTCTGCATGGGCTAGGAGGTGCTGCAATAACAAACAGCCCTGAACACTCCCTGGTGAAAACAACAAAGGTTCACTTGTCCTCACCCTGAAAGTCCACAATGGTTAACCAGGGCTCTTTCTATGGCTGAGGTTCTGTGACACTTTCACTCTGGGGCCCTGTCACTTCCTGGAAAGTTGCAAAGGCTAGGCCAGAAGTGCTGAAATCTCTGGTGGGTCTCCCCTCAGCAGCTGCAAGCAGGACTCTGAGAGGCACACACTGCTTCTGCTCCCAGCTCTTCCACTCCCAGCTCACCAGCCAGAACTGGTCACTGGTCACGAGTCCCCACCGACCTCTGGGGGGCGCAGAAAGAGTAGCTGTCACATGCCTGGGAGGTGACAAGCCAGAAACATCCATGGACTGCCCTTCCCAGTCTCCTAGGACTTGAAAACTTACAAATTCCCCTTCTTGTCTCAGTTGTCTTGCTAGTCTGGTTTTAATTAATTGTGATTCATAAGTTTGACCTTGCCCAGACAGAAAAGCAAATGACAGAGGGGGTGACATTCACCTTTGTAAATGTCACAATGTACATGAAAAAGAAATAAACCAAATAAGTTCTATAACAAAAAAAGAGGAGAAAAGCTACATCAACTTGAAAAGCAGCTATTATCTTAGTGAAGAATTATGCAAATTATAAATTAATTTTATCTGCTTAATGACACCATAATATTTCTTCACCTTGCGCTACTACAAGCCAGGAAGACTGCATTTTTATTGGTCGCCTATAATTCTATAAATGTTTGAGTACTCCATAACAAAAGCAAAAAGAAACAGAATGTTCTAAGCCTGTACTCTGCATTCAAGGCCAGCCCGGACAACATAGCAAGACATCGTCCAGAGGAACAAAATGAAAAGGAAAGAATTTCTGTTCCAAGGTGTTTGGAAACACCTATTGAGTGATCATAAGATTCATTTATTGAGAGCCCACTGGGCACATCACTTTTCTTAAGTATTTGGCAAAGGTTATCTCATGACATCTTTGCACCTGAAATGAGTTATTATGCCTGTATTACAAAGGAGACAACCAAGACCCAGAGAGGTTAAGTAACTTGCCCAAAGTCACACAGCCAGAGAGCCCAGTGTTGTATGACCCCTGTATTGATAGAAAACAAGAGGCTCATTGCAAATAATTCTATTCTGTCCTCAGGAACAACAGGGTCCCCAGAAGGTGAACGATGGGCATCTCTTCCAAAATAGGCACTGCTCTGGAATTTTGGGTTCAGAGGGAGCACCCCCCGCAATTTGGTGAGATTAAAGAGGTCCCTTGGGGGTTACAGTTGTTGAACTTGACTGAAGGTTCAGGGGAGCAGCCCAGATCTAGACTTTGCTTTAAATTTTTGCAGCTGAGTCATTATTTGTGCAGGAAGCAGAAGACTGAGCAGAATTGAATGGACTCTGGTGGTCTCCAGAGTGTTTGCACACATGCAGGAGCGACTGGGTGTGTGCACGCACAGCACACACATACATACACAGTACACACATACTCACATGTGTATGTGTGTGCATGTGTACACACCACACACACACACACACACACACAGTCTCCTAGTATGCAGCCTGAAGCTGGAAATTCCCTGCCATTCATTTCTGTGTTTTTCTGCCTGGCCTCACCCTTCTGGGGAATGTACGGAGAACTCAGGGGAGGGAGGGGAACAAGAGCAAATGGCAAAGAGCAAGAAGGGTGAAGACCACTGCTGCCCAAGGGTCCCTGGCAGCCAGGGGGTGGGAGGGCAGAGCCTGTGCAGGGGGCTCTGACACCTCAGCAAGTCCAGCCTCCTCCTTTGGTAGGCAATGCTGGGGAGGGGCTACAGTTTAAAGGTGCAAATTCCCAGCCCCCAACTCCCCACTCCCAGAGTCTATTGGTGGCTCGAGCTTTCAGACACAGTGCTTAAGATTCGAAGTCTGGGGCTGGGGGGTGCAGCTCAAGTAATAGGAGCACTGCTTAGCAAGTGGGAGACTCTGTGTTCAAACCCCAGGACTGCAAAAAAAAGATTCTCATTCTTAAGAAGACCCGGGTCACATCCCAGCTCTTACTGCATTACAGTGTGACCTGAACCAATCACAGGTAAGGCGAGGATCATTGTGCAGAAAGAGTTTAGCACACTGCCTGGCTGATGGAAACGTTCAATAAATGACAGCTATTACTCTCATTAGTCTGTCACTGCTGCTTCTCCTATATAATTATGGCCCATCCTGGCTGCATTTGTGCTGGGAATGGCTACAGCAACTGAACAAGAAACTGAAACTCGGTGAGATCCCTGGGGAGCGTCTCGTGTCCAAACTCAACTTCCTCCCTCTCTGGCCGCTCTTCCTGAGCCTGCTTGGGAGTTTTCCATCTTCCCAAGAATGCCATCAAAAGACAGGGATGACTCTGGTCATCACGAAGACCCTGTTGGTGTTTCACACTGCGGGTGGGAGGTGGAGGGGGTGGGAGCTGGGGCAAGGCCACAGCAGCTCCTTCATGGGGGTGGGATGCACGACCCAGGACACTGGGTCTTGGTGAAGCAAGGTGCGCTCCCTCCCTGCGGACAGCTGGATGCTGCAGTTAGTCCAGATTCCTGCAGGAACCCCAAATCCAGACCATGGCAACCAACGGGGCACAGGGACCAGGAGCACCCAGGAGAAGGAGGAACGGGAGGTCTCATGCTTGGGCCTGGGCTTGGCAACTGTCACCCTGGACAATGTGGGCCTGGGATCTGATCTTCTAAATCACCCAAGAGAACACAGGAAAGGGAGTTCGTGTGAGCAATTTTCTGATGTTAAATATTGCCTCTAATTAAAAAAAACCACATAAGATATTGAATCTAAGATGTTGTCACGGGTAAGATGTTCTGATAAGTAATAAACTACTAATAAAGAAATACCCTGCTAATTAAACTATGATAAACCATTGATGGCAAACTGAATCCCAATTCCAAATGTCACAGTGTGGGAAATGTGTCCCAGAATCTGTGCAGTGTTGTGTTTTGATACACAGGATGGACTCCGTGTGGGCAACCCCACACATACCCACTCTTCTGATGCCATCCTGGGACACTGACCCAACATCACACAGCTGGGCACCCTCCTAACTCCCACTCCCACCCCCAAAGCCGCTCTGCTGATTGTAAAACTTCCTGCCCCCCACTGCAGGTGGCTGGAAACAAGGCACCTTGGCTCCTCCCTCGTTCCCAGGCCTGCCCCCAGTGAATGCTCCCTTATTTGACTCACAAGACTTTTAAATTTTATTAGTAAAATACAAAATGGCACAGACATTGGTAATGAGGGTTGAAAAAGCAAAACGATCAACCAACTCCTTCTGAAGTCCTCCCCAGATTGTCCTTGACCAATATCCTTCTGGGAGAAACAAAGTGCATTCAGACCTGCTGCCCTCTCTGGGCCTTCGGTCCTGGCTCCAGCTAGACTCTAGCTGTGAAGGATGGGGGGATTGGAGGAGGGCAGGGCAGGAGGTGAGGAGGGCTTCCCTCCCCCCTCTGAGCATCTACCTGCCAAGGTGTGAGTGACTGACCACTAGGTGAAGCCTAGTCCATGAGGAGCTCTGCAGGTGGAGGGCAAAGGTCACTCCTGGGGATGGTCAGAGGGAGGTGTGAGCTGCCACCAGGGCCCCTCAGGGGCCAGGTCTACAGGTCTGGATGCGAACTTGGGGTGCCGGCCAGCACACTCACCTCTAGGTGTGCCTTCTTCAGAAGCCAGAAGAGAAACCGCAGACTTTATGCTCATGGCATCTCCCCTCCTCCCTATTCCCTCCTCCCTCCTCCCTCAGGGCAGAGTCGGTTATACACACAGGACTCCAGGAGAATGGAGAATGTAACAGGGATTCCTAGTCCCGCTGTGGTAGGAGCAAAAGTGAGGAGACAAGGTCTTGGAGTACAGAGAATGGCGCTTTCAGGGGACGAAAGAGGCAGAAGACCCAGGCCACAAGAAAGACTCTAGCTTTGTGGGGCCACCGTGACTGCCACCTGCACAAGTCCCTAATATGGATTGTGGCTGCCCCAGTAATTCTCCCCTAACTCCTTTCACGCAGTACTTCAGATCCCTAAGGGAAGAGGTGGCGGTTGCCCTCCCCCTTCCTCCTCCATCCTTCTGGAGAGGCTGACCTGTCTCTGTGGAGCAGGGAGCCTGGCCAGGACTAAAAGGGGTCTGCAGAACTGGCCTCCGCTCCTACAGATCCTCAGCCCAGCCCCCATTCAGGGGTCCATGGTGGGGGTCAGGACTTTCATTATCAAATCACTCCTGGCTAGCCCTTTGGGTCACAGGATTCAAAGAAGTGCCACTCTAATAGATGGCAGTAGCTGCCCATGGTGCTCTGCTAATGAGGACTGGGGGCTCCATCTGGGTTCTTAGCACAAGGATCCCAGAGGAGCAAGTATGATGTCAGAGATACAGCACCAGCTGTCTACCGTCCTTCCTTCCTGTCACAGATAGGTGCTTTGTTGGGTGGAGGGTAGAATTGGGGCTGGACCCCAGCCTTCACTGCAAATTAAAGCCATCAGATGACCTCGTCTTCCTTTCCTGTGAAGCCAGAGGCTTCACCAGCAGCAAGTCCAGGAAACATGGCACTGACCTCATGCAAGCTAAGATGAAACCCAGGTTGGGGGTGGGCTCTGTACAGGGATCAGGGAAAGATAGCACCGCCGTTCCCCGGGGTGGCTGGCGACTGCAGCAGGACCAGGAGACACAAGAGGTCGGGGAGCAGGAGGGTGGTGGTGGTGGTGGTGGTGGTGGTGGAAGAGCCTGGCTAGCTGCTCCTTGGTGAGATGGGAGGACCACGTGTTCACAGGGAGGTGGGGGTCAGGGGCTGGGTAGTCAATAAATAGTTATTCACTAGGACTGGGACCGTGTCAGGGAGCCTCTAACCAGCCAGCAGCAGAGGAGTGTTCAGGTTTGGGAGAGTTGGGAGGCCACCCCCTCTGTTCCTGATAGGTAGAGAAAGGTCAAAAGTGGCCTCCTGGGCTACACCTGGGAGCTTGGAGCGGTTTGCACCTGGAGGACCCTGAGGACCCTGCCTCCCCATTCCCATCACCCCAGCTCAGGCCAGGCCCTGGGGTGAGGTGGGTATGAGGATGGGGGCCCCCAGGAATCTGTCTCAGTCAAATGATTGGATGAAGGCAGCTCACACTGGCACCAGGACATATGAGTTACTGCCACAGCTCCGGGGGACACAGCGAAGGCCTTCCACCATTTCCCCAGCCACTTTGCGGGGACAGCCCTGGAGGCTCTGGTAGGCAAACATAGCCACTCCCAGACAGAAAAGAAGACCGAGGAAGGCCAGCAGCCCTACTGCCTGTCTCCGAGTGGCTACCTGGGAGTCAGGGACAGGAGTAACAAGGACACTCTGCCTCTGGGGGTCTGCTGTGGCATGGATGGGTTCCTCAACCTTGGGGGCCCAGCTGCCTGAGGCCACTGGCTCCCGGCTGGAGGTTCCTTCAGAGGAAATGGGGGCCACAGAAGGATGGGCCACGCTGCTAGGCCCCCAGTCCTGGAAAACATCAGTGTGAGCTGGAACAGGACCCATCTCCTTGGGTTCTGGAGAGTTCTCTGGAGTAGGGCTCTGTCCCTGGACCCACACGGGTTGGTCTTCAGGCCCAACATTTTCCTCTAGGGGTGAATGAGAAATGGTGGGAGACTGGGTGGAGGCGACCTGGGTGGAGGGGCCCAGGGTGGAAGGGGTCTCAGTGGAGGGGGCCTCTGCGGCCTTCTCAGGTTGATGGGCAGCAGAACCCTGCCACGCAATGGTGGTGGAGGTGGCAGCCATGTTGACAATCTCAGTGCCCTCGGGTACAGCTGCAAGCCCTCCATGCTGAGCCTTGGAAGTAAGGGGCCACCTGGTCCCCGAGGATCTAGTCACTCCTGTTGTCAGCTGTGGGGAAGTCCCCGTGGGCCTCCGTGCCCCATGGGAAGAAGCAGTCAGCTCCAAACTACTGCTTTCCCCTGTGGCTTTGGGTTCTGCGAGTGCAGGCTGGGATGTTCCCCCGGCTGTCGCGGTGGTCCCGGGCTTCACCACGCCGATTTGCTTCTCAAATGTGCCGCCATTTTGAGCAAGAGCCTGGCGGTCCAGATGCTTCATGGCGTCCTGCACCCATGGCTCCTTTGGGTCAGCACAAAAGAGTTTGTGCTGCCTCGTCTCCAAGCTATAAGGGAGGAAGACAGGAACCCAGTGATGCCCAGATAGCAGAAAGCCAGGCTGGTGTGGCATGGGGCACAGAGCCTTAGGTTGTTCACTCTCTTGGGCCTCTGAGCCCTCACCTGAGACCGCAGGGAAGGAGGCTGCCCACCTCAGAAGAACCAGGATGGAGGGCCAGCCGCAGGGTGAGGGACTTTCCCTTTCAAAACCGAGAAAGTCCCAGGCAATGTGGACAGTTGGTCACCCTGCTTCTGTGTTGTTGTTTTTTAAAAAGCAAGTAACGTAGAGAAAGCACCTGGCTCAGAGTAGAAGATAAATACAAACTGAACATGAAAACGGTGCTAATAACCAGGTTGTTACCATTAAGGCAGGGGCTCTGGGCTCTGATGCCCTGATAGTGATGGGATGTTACAGGTGTTCTCTGACACCAGGTATGAGACCAGGTGAGCTCCATGGTGGGGCCTCCTCTTCTTCCTGCTTCATGGTCATCCCAATTTTCCTCTGGACCCCAAACCTTCTTCTTCCAGTTGGTGTCCTTAGGATGAAGGGACCTCTGGGGGAACTAAAGCCACATATACATATCTCATGGCTACACTGGGATCCTGCGTGTCATCTTAAACACACCTTAAAGCTTCAGAGGAAGCTATGTGTGTGGCTGGTTCACCCCCAAGGCTATAGCTCAGAGCTGACTGGAGCCCTCGCTCCATGCCACAACCTGGGTACTTCACACTCAGCCTGCAATGCGGCTACTAGGCTCACGGCCATTTTTCAGATGGGGAAAACAAGGCTCAGAGCAGTAAAGAAGTGGGCCTGGCTCCACTATGCTGTGAAGCCAGAGAAATCCAGGAAGCCAGGGTGACCCTGCAGGCTGCTTTGGGCATCTGGTTCCCCTCCCCCACTTCCCACTTCCCCTCTACCTAGAAAAAAGAAGCCAGTATTTGGGGGTGTCTGGTGGAAGTAGCCCCTGATGGGTGAGCACAGAGGTCAGGCAGGCACATGCTCTGTGCCTTGCCTCCTAGACTGCATGACTGAGGAGAGGAAGCACTGACTTCCGTTAGCAGAGCCTAGACTGTAAAGGGCCACTGGCCACTTCCTGCTGCCAGGCCTGGGGACTGGCTGAGGCAGCTCTAAGGCACCATAGCCAGCCTTGAGGAAGGGCCTCAGGACTGGGTAATTGGGCAGGTCTCACAAGGGTCCCATGGGGAGCAAAAGGCCAGGAGTCTCCAACAGCCAGGCCTAATTCATTCCCAAAGTCCCCTAGAGCTGCTTCTGCCTCTGTCAAATGGAGCTGCTGAGCTCTGTGACTCAGTGACACATCTCTTTGCACCCTCCTCCCTTCCCACTTTACTGGGAAGGTGTAAAGGGCAGGCCGTGTAACCAGGGCCAGCAGCTGGTCTGCTAGAGTCTGAGACTTGCACTGGGAGACCACAATGCTTTGCCTCCCTGTGGGACCTAGTGGGAACCCTTGCTTTAGCCTGGGTGGAATTATCAACTCCCAGGTCACCAGCCAGAGCAGCTGCCCCTGGCCACCCTGGGCCATTCGGGAAGGCATTCCTCACCTCCACCACGTGGCACAGATATTAGGGTCAGTGAGACGGCCCATAGGTCAGGAGCAAAGGGAGCACATTCTGAGGCCTTTGGCGGGGAGCCCAGGGTGAGGCAGGTGGGTGTGGACAGGGGTTAGCAGAGACCTGGGACCAGCCGAGGGCCCACTGGGAGCAAAAGAAGCCTTGGTACCTACATGATGGCACGCTTGCCGCAGGACTCTTGGTTGTGCCGATAGTGGATAAGCAACCACTCTGGGATCCTCCGGGTCATCGTGTGGCAGGTGACGTTGCATTTTGTCACACTGAGGTGCTGTCCTGAGTCCACAGAAGCCCCCAGTCAGCAAAGCTGTCCATGGGCACCTGCTTCCCATCCCCATGCCAGCTTGTCCTCCCTTTCTGCTCCCCATGCCACACCACCCATACCCACCACACACACCCAAGCTGTGTCCACGCACTGGACACAGGTCCCTTCTCCTCCCAACTTGGCCAGGCCTTGGTTTCCAATGGCAGACAAGCACAGTAGCCACCCCTAGGATTGTTTAAGGACTAATGAAGATGAACTCCTGTTTATAAGGCTCTGTTTGTCTGGAACACAGGAAGTGTTTAATTTTTTAAATCAAAATGGTCACACAACCAGCAGGTGATGGAACAAGTCCTCCCTCAGGCTTGCTCCTGTTCTCTTGGCCCATAGTCCCGCCTGTCCTGAGTGTGTCCCAGTAAGTCATCTGCTCAGTCATCATCTCCAAATGATGCCCCACTACTCCTTTTCAGATTGCTTCATATTCACGGTGTCCCAGATCTCTGTCCACCCACACTCCCATGCTGAACCTATGACATGTGTGCACACACACCAACAACCATGCTGGCACATATATGTACCCCCACGAACACACATGACAACATGTATATAACCAAGAGAAGTGGCAAACAAGACACTTTGTTAAACAGGTAAGTACAGCCCCCTGACCCCACCCCCTTAAGAAGGGGGGTTCTGCAGCAAAGGTGTCCCTTTGCTCTGTAGAATGAGTTTGGGATAAGAGAAGAGCCAGGCAGGTGGCTCATTCCTGTAATCCTAGCTACTCAGGGGCAGAGATCAGGAAGATTGCAGTTCAAGGCCAGACTTGGGCAAATAGTTCCCAAGACCCTATCTCAAAAATGCCCTGCCACCCACAAGAAACAGGGCTAGAGGAGTGGCTCAAGCAGTTAGAACACCTGCCTAGCAAGTTTGAGACCCTGGGTTCAAACCTCAGTACTGCCAAAAGAGAGAGGGAGAGAGAGAGAGAAAGAGAGAGGAAGGACAGTCCCTGGAGTAAGGAGAGGTGGGGGCAGGCATAGGATGTGGACAGTGAGGCAAGCAGGGCATGTGGATGGCTGGGTAGCAAGTGGAACCAGAGAGAAACACCAGGACAGGATGGGATGACTAGACCAATATTTACTGTGGTTTGCATTTCATGTCTGTCTCTCCCCTTCCCCTACACCTTCCAGAAGAATAATGTCTGCATGTTGTAAGATCCAGGAAGATGGATATAAAAAAACAATGAAGGGCTTGAGTTCAGATCTGGATCAGGGATATGTACAGCAGAAACAAAACACTTCAGGAGTCTTGCAAGCATCTAAAATCTGGGACTTCCAGACCAGTTGAGGGGAGAAAACAAGTTGATCTGATCTAGCCCAGTACAAACACAGACACAGCATGTAGACATGTAAGCACATGGAGTCATCCCAAATACAGATACACAGGGCTCCACAGTAAAGCTAGCCAGGGGCCAGGGATGGCGGCTCAGGCTTGTAATCCCAGCCACTCAGGAGGCAGAAGTAAGAGTATCATGATTCAAGACCAGCCCTGGGCAAAAAGCGTAAGACCACAGAATAAAAAGGGGCTGGAGGCATGGCTCAAGGAAGTAGAGTGCTTGTAAGCACAAGGCCTTAAGTTCTTCAAACACCCTGTACCCAAAAGCAATCAATCAATCAATAATAATAAATATAGGCACACACATGCATAGAGTCTCTAGAATCTGCCTCCTCCTGTCCTCATCACTCCCCTATACCGTGGCCTGGCCACTTTGTGGGAAGGGCATTTAGGAGTACAGGTGCAGGCTGGGTCCTCAAGGGGCTGAACCAGTCATACCTGGGATGGGCAGGAGGGGCTCTCTGGTCACAGGGCTGTCCTTTATCTCTGAGGAACCAGGATATGAAAGTCACAGTCCAGACCTATCACTTTCCTTCTTCCCCAGTGGACCTCAGAATGACTCAACTGCAGCCTCCCCAGGCCCTGGCAGTAGAGCCAGGTGGCCACCCCTGCATTGGTCTGGCAGGTGTCTTCCTGGGAAAGTCCCAGAACAAATGGCCCTGAATGACCTGAGATAGGAGGACAAGGAGGCTAGGCAGTGGGGGAGGAAGTCCCCAGATCCAGGAAGGGGAAGGCCACTCCCACCTGTAGGACGGGAAAGAGCCATGCACAAAGGCAGTGGGGACTCCCCAACCTCTGCCACTGTGCATGGTGCTCTTGCCTGGGCTCAGCGCTTAGTCCTGCCTGGAAGCTGTGACATTAACCTAAGGAGGTCTTCCTTTCTCAAGACTGAAGTTTGCGCTCCAGATAATGCCTCTAGCCAGCCAGTCAGATACTACCTGTCAGGGGAGTGTCAGGAGAGCAGGAACCTGTCTGTGTTGTGTCATAGGTTTTCCCAGTGTCAAGCCCAAGGTGGGTACTCAAAATAATTATTTATAAGATGAAACAATGTCTCAATCTGGTTTATACATCCACCTATGTACCCATCCATCCATCTCTCCATCATTCATCCATCTCTCTATCCATCCATGCACCCATACATCCCCCATTTACCTTCCTACCATCCATCCATCCATCCACCCACCCACCCACCCATTTATCTACCCTCTCTTGTCAATCTCCTACATATCCCACCCACCTCTCTACCTCCTAGTCATTCCATACTCATCCCCATCCATCCACCTACCCACCTCACTCACCCACCTACCACCTGTTCCTCTCTACCCATTCATCTCACCCACCTATCCACTTCATTTCACCTGCTGTCTGTCCCTCACCAGCTCACTCACCCATGCTTCCTCCACCCACCCTCCATCCATTTCTGACTTAGCCAACACTTGCTTGAATTACCTCTGCATACACACAGAGGCTCAAGCCCTCTTGTTCTTAACCCTGAACTCTTCTCTTGCAGATTCTGGTGCTAAGAATGTAGCAAACACCTTAACCCCAATAAATGTTTTCAAGACTGCTCTTTCTTTAGCCACCCAACAAGTGGGGCTTCCTCCCTCTTGCTAAATCCCGTGTGGGGTGCTGTGAGGCACAGGGAGATGAACAAAGCCTGCCTGTGCCCTGTGGACAGGTAAAACATGCATCACAAGGATTAGAGCTTTTTTTAAAGCACCTACTGTGTATCAGACCCTATGTTCAGCATATGCCCATCTGCGCTGACTAATTTCCAACATCCCTGCAAAGGGACAATTGTTATTCCTGTTTCACAGATACAGAAGCTGAGAATCAGAGAGGTTAAGCTACTTGCCCAAGGGCACACAGCTGCTTAGTGACAGAACTCAGTTTCTACCCAGCCCCTAGACATTCCAGTGTTGCCATAGACACCTAGTGGAAACACCATGTTCTAGAACATACCACAAATATTCTGGGAATTTCATGAAAGGGGGGACCACTTGCAACTGTAAGTAACCAGGTGAAGATTTTCTGGAAGATTCCTTTAAGCTGGCCCTCACGACTGCTAGGGGACTTGCAGGTAGGAATTCCTGGGTTCTTGGGTACCATGGAATGTTTTTCAGTATCTCTGGGCTCTACCCACTAGAAGCCAGGAGCACCTCTAATCCAAAAATACTGGGACCTTTGGAACAACCAAAAATGTCTTCAGAAATTGTCAAATGTCCCCAGTGTAGGGGGACAAAATCACCCATGGAGGACCACCACTCTAGAGACACCCTAATGGCCACTCCCTCGCCTCCCTCAAAGCTGCAATGCTGTCTGCTCACTGGGGTCTTCCTGACCCCCACTTAAAATGTCAACACCTCCCTCCTCTCTCCCTCTGCCTCCCCTCCTCACTCTCATTTCATCACAGTGCATTTCCCTTCTATGATGGTTTACTTAATTTTTTTGTTTATTGTCTGTCTTCTTTGATCGAATTTCAGCACCAGGATGGCTGGGATCTTTGTCCCCTTCATTCACTAATGTGGCCCTGGCACCTAAAAGTGCATGTCACACAGCAGCAGGCATCCAACACATGAATGGACAAAGTACATACGGAAGTGCTTTGTGACATAGAAAAGCTTAAATAGTGGAGATATAAAGGCATTTGTATTAAGTTTGACAGGGGCGTGGATGTGACATCCAAATGTATCCTCCCCCACCCCTTCGCCCCCAGCGTGAAGCAGGGGGCAGACCAGACTATAACTGCTTAAAACAGATTTTTCTTTTCTTTCTCCTTTCTTGCCGGGACTTGAGTGGGAGTGAATGCGTCAGTGCTCAGGGAGCAAAATTCCCTGCTCTGACTTGCAACTGCAGGTTTGTTATATAAAGCACGGAGCCACCGCCTGACACAGCTCTGCAGACCCACGTTTGGGAATTGACGCAGCTGCCTTGCACCAGTGGGTAGCAGCCATGAAGCCTGAGCCCCTGCTGGGGAGGAGCTCCAGGCTGGGTCTGGCTGGATGCACAAGAGGAGAAACTGAGGCTTAGAAAGGTTGACATGATGCCCAGTATATCTTAGCAAAGCCAGTGGCCAAGATTAGGGCAGGAATATGAGGGTCCTCAGTGCATCTAGGAACCACTGTCCAGCCGAGCTTAGAACCCCCCCACACCAGTTTAGTAAATGTAATCCTCCTCCTTCTCCCATATTTAAACATACAGAGAATGCAGGACCCTGCTCAGGAACACACAGCAAAGTGCTGGCAAGGCACTCTCCATCTGACTCCTCACTGTCCCCAAACACCTCAGGCCAGAGCTCAGGTAGCTGCAAGGCAGCAGCTATTCTCTTCTACTGCCCCAACTCCCCACCCACTCACCCTCCTCCTCCTTTTCCCTGTGATGACTTTTCTCCATGGACACTGGGGACCATTTCTCATTCTCCTAGGCTCACTGTGTGTCCTGAGCTACACTGCCACCTCCTCTGAGTGCCAACCTGCTAGATGGCCTAAAAGTCCACCAGGTGCTGCTCCCTGCTGGCTGTGCCTCCTTAGGCCAGTTTCTAAACCTCTCTGGGCCACCATCTTATTCATGTCAACATGGTTACACCTTGTCCTACCAGGTGTAGGGGGAGGAAAGCAAGTGATTGAAGATGAAAGCAAGTCCTAGTCTGGACTGGGAGGAGGAAGACAGCATGTGGGGGAAACACAGGCAGGGGTAGTGCAGATCAGGGTAGCAGGAACAAGCCCTATCCTGAACTGCAGTGACCTTGACCGTCACTGGTCCTGGGTCCCCTACTCCTGAGGTCCTTGACCTGGGCAGGATAAAGTCCGGACTGTCCCCTGGCCCTGGGCCAAGGCTGCAGGTTGCCTTTGACCCTGGGTGGGAAGACCAAGCTCAGAGGAGCCAGGGCCTCCCACCCAGGTACCACTCCAGCCTCCTCACACCTCCCCTAACCTGGTCCTTCCTGGCAAACCCTGTGCCACTAACACCCCATCCGTTCTGCCATCTTGTAGCCACCTGGCTCACTGGACCAGACAGGGGCAGTGGCTGGAGAGGAAATCTTTCCCCAGGGAAGGGGCAGTCCTGCATCCCTCAAGCCTCTTCCCTTGTATCCTTTTCCGCCTTCCCCAATAGGGTCCTCCGCCGTGGTGACAAGCCTAAGGGGTTAGGAGAGGGTGGGCTCCCCTCCCAGCTCGTGCTGAGGCCGGGTCCCCACTCACCGGCCAGCAGGATGGTCAGATGGCAGAACGCAGCCAGGCGGAGCAACCACGCGAGCTGCCTGGGAGCCATGGCTGAGGGTGGGCGAGGGTCTGGGCCCGGGCAGGCGACTGGAGCCAGGGATCAGAGCTCAGTGCTGTCTCTCCGCCACGCAGCTCAGCGGCTTTTTATAGTGGAACTCGGCTGCCTCCGCCTCCGGCCCCCGCAGGCTTGTGGGCGGGGGGGGGGGGGGGGGGGATGTGAGCAAGAGGCGCTGGATTCCTCGGGATGTCGCCAAGGAACCGGGCTCTGCTCGCCGCGCTGCGGGAGGAGCGCTGCGCTCGCTGCCCATCCTGCCAGCCCGGGAGGCTGGACCCGGCCTGTCAGGGTTCAAAGGCCTCATCTCCTCCCCTGTGCGCAGGCCAGGATAGACACACCCTAGGGCCAGGCACAACCCTGGCATCCAAGCGGAGAGTAAGCAAAAGGACAGCGGGCAGGAATGGAGAAGGCTGAGTCCCCCAGTCTGGGTCTGATAAGCTCTCCCACACGGTGACGGATCCCCAACCTTCATCCCGTAACCCCCCCAGACTCCCGCCAAGTCCCTACCTGTGAGCTCCTGGCCACTTTGTTCACTGATGCACCTCCCGAGCCCACCCAGCGTGGAGTTGGCACACAGGAGGGGCTCAGGGCAGTGTTTGATGACAAAATGATCCAGTCTTGCTTCATGGACAGATGGGGAAACTGAGGTCCAGGTCAGAATGTCAGGATGGAGAACCCACCTCCCACTGCCAGAGGGGACAGGAGGCATGATCAGGGGACAGCTTCCGGCACAGAATAAAACCCTGGCCCTCAGCCTGCAGATCCCCAGCCTCCTACCCTCCTTTGCCTCCGATTTCCACCCTGTCTTCTCCCTGCCACCCTCACCCTAAGAAGGTGCAGTCCTCCTTTATAAGGGGGTAGTCCAACTAACCCCTAGGGGAGGGAGCTCCCGGCTTCAACTTTGACCTTTTAGGTGCTCCCTCTCTGAGACCAGGCAGGACCAACCAACAGGGGACAGGTACAGCCCATTTTAAAGGCAGACTTCCTTCTCCAAGGGCAGAGGTGACAATCAGGGAGTTTAGAACTGTGGAGCAGAAGCCTTGCCCAGCCTTAGGCCAGGAAAGAACTACACTGGTCAGGTGTCCCTGGGCCACCAGCCAGAAGGAAAACCAGTTTGTCTAGGAGCCAGTGTCCCAGGCTATGGAGTCAACTGGTCTAGATTGGGGTGGGCAGAGAAGACAGAGCTCTCAAGGCTCTGGCACCTCTTGTTCTCTCCGGCTACCCACTCAAGACAGTTGGCCCCCCAGGGGCAGGGTTGGGAGACTGGACTCTCGTAAGGAAGTGGAGTGGGGAGGGTTACCCTGGCAGAGGTCAATGTCCACTGGGCTCCAGAACCTGCACCAGCCAGCGCAGATAAGAAGCTAGGAAGTCTCACACTTACACTCTCCAATACCTCGTTTTATAGCTGGGGACACTTGGATCCAGACAGGGAGAAGGAGTGATAAAACAGAAGTCCAGGGCTCTTTGTGCTCTGCCAAGTAAGAGCAGGATGGACGGTGGGGGGGGGGGCAGGGGGGGCAGAGGAAGAAGGAGGGAGAAGGGGAAAGGAAGAGAAAGAAGAGGTCAGGGAGGAAGAGGGGCAAGGGGAGCTTCCTGGAGGCCCCACACCCATGTTTGGCTTATTTTTTGTTTTTTGTTTTTGCTTTTGCTTTTTTTCTCTAGGATGGCCTGGAACTCGCTGTGTAGCCCAAGATGGTCTTGAGCTCACAATCTTCCTGCCTCAGCTGAGTCCTGGGATTACAGGTGTGTGCTGCCATGTACGTTTCCCACACTTTTTAAAGGACAGGGATTTGGAAGTAGAGACCTTGTTCTTCTAGCCTCCAACTCTGCTGAGAGAAGTGTTTAGGGAGCTGAGGCTTTGGGATCAGATGGCCTGGCTCTGACGCTACCTCTGTGTGATGTTGGGCCCCTTCCCTGCCCCCCTGAGACTGGCTTTTCTGCAGTTGGGGAAGGCAGTACTAATGCTGAGTCAGGCACTAAGTGTTTTCAGTGGGCTGGTGATATAGCTCAGCAGCAGAGCACTGAAGTCCTAGAGTTGATTCCAGTGCCACAAAACACAGCTTTTTAAATGCTTCCCATAGTTAATTTACAGAATCATCTAAACAAACCAGAGAATGAGCAAAATACCATTTCCACGGTCCGTTTTATGGAGAGGGAAACTGAGGCAAGCAGAGATTAAGGAACTTCCTGAAGACTACCAGCCAGGAAGTGAAGCAGTATGAGTTTTCCCCAGCCGGCTGGCTCTGGGGTCTGAGTTCAAGTCCACCTGGCTGCACCTCCTGCCTCCACCCCACCACCAGGACCCGAGTAACGAGTATGTTAATACCTATACAGTGTCAGGACACAAAACATGACTAGGCTTTTCCTGGATCAGCTTTGGGGACATTCCCTGCCCTCTCCAGGACCAGCTTCTCCTCTGGAACATGGGAATGGCCCCACCATCCCATCTCATCAGGTGTCAAGAATTAATGAGTTCAGATTCGATTTGGACACAGCAACCAAGTCTTTAAACTGGCCGGATCTGGAGCCAAACACAAGTCTTCTACTCAGAGGGGTGTGGCCTTGGGCAAGTTCCTTAACCTCTCTGTGCCTCCGTACCCAGTCTGTGAAATGACATGCCAGTCACCTCCTCACCAAGTCACTGGGGAGGGAATGAAACTAAGGGTTTTCACAGTAGCTGGCACACAGAAGGGGCCATTGGAGTTTATCAAGCCCTGGTGTGCACTTGGGACCGTGGTGGGTCAGAGGACCCAGAGGCAACTATGCCGAAGTCCTTGTCCCAGGAGCCCCAGCTCTGTAGGAAGAAGAAGGTGCAGCCAACCAGGGGCTCTAAGGTGGATGGTTCAGGCAGGAAAGAAGACAGGCGGAGTGACCAAGAGGCCGTTTCAATCTGAAGATGAGCTAGGGAGTTTGGTCCCATTAACATTTCTATCTCAGAAAATTTCAAACACACAAGAAGGAGTGACATAATGAACTTTCATATTTCAAACTCTAAGATTCAATAATTAGTATTTTTCTATATTGCCTTTACCTTTTTTTTGACCAAACATTTGCAAAGTAAGTTATGGCTGCTCAACCTTTGCCTTTAAATACTTCAGCATGCACCTCCTACTCTAAAGAAATTCTTTCACAAACAAAATTAACAGTGACACATATACATCACCTAATACCTGGCTCAAGTTCAATTGTCCCCAAAGCACATTTTATAATTTCTTCTCCCTCTGTCTTTTCAGGCACTCGCAAAGCAAGCACTCTGCCATTTGAGCCACACCTCCAGTCTATTTTGCTCTGGTTATTTTGGAGATGGGGTCTCAAGAATTATTTGCCCGGGTTGACCTCAAACCGGGATCCTCTTGATCTCAGCCTCCCAAGTAGCTAGGATTACAGGAGTGAGCTCCTTTCTTGCTTTTATTTTTTGAACTAGGATCCATCTAAGCGTATGTATTGCATTTGATTGTTTCATTTTAGTCTTTTTAGATCACCTGCATGTTTTTCGATAACATTGACTTTGAAAAAGTCAAGACTATTGTCTTATACAATGCTCTCATTCTTCATTTATCTAGTTACTTCCTTATGAGTCAACTAATTTTTTTCCGCTATTCTGTGTATTTCCTGTAAATCAGAACTTAGCCCTGCACGTTTGATTAGACCTCAGGCTGCACGTTCTTGGCAAGAACCTGTTGTAATTCTGTGTACTTCACATATGCCAACAGGAGGCACACATTACCAGCTGGCTCTGCTATTTGATTTGACAGGGCTGATGGGTTGATGGGAAAGTGAGAAGTATTGTTCCCTTATGACTCACAGGCAGGCTGGGGGAAGCGCTGGCCCTGGTGACATACACTAGGGCAGGATTTTGACACCTATTCCAGACATAGGTAGAACCTAATCAGGATGAATGGTGCAACCCCCTGGGGACATGGGGAATGGCCTGATGCCATTGGCTCTGAGGACAGGTGGAGGATTTTGAAACTGAGTGAGGAATGAAAGCAAAGGAGAGCCTTTGGGGTGAAAGCAAGAGGTGGCAGCAGGCAGCAGGAAAGAGGATTTCCTCTGGGGCCACTGGGGTATTGGGAATGGGGAAAGGGGTTGCCCACAACTTCCTTATGTGGCCATGACCAGGTCTGGGTGGCCCAGATAGCAGGGGGTCTGTGCTGTGTTTGTAGGACACAAAGGGTATTCCAGCCCTGGAAGCTAAACAGAGCTGCCGTGGAGAGGAGGGTTGGGAGCCAGGCCAGCTCCTACCAGACCCAGGGAGGAAGAAGAGATGAGTGACCCTCCTGTCCTCTGGGGAGGGGGAAATGAAGCCTTGACTTGCTCTCTCTGTCCCCTAACTAGAGCTACTCTCCTGAAAATTCCACCATGAGAGGCATCTATGAAAGGGAACAGGACATGACAGATGTCCCTAATGGCTGTTTATACTCAGAGAACCATGAAGACGTCAATCACAAGGGGTCCTTTTTTGCCATTCTGGCAGAATAAGTTGTGTCAGGAGCCCCCAGAGAAAGGGGCAGGGCCCATGGAAATCGAGGACTCTAGGGGAGACCAGCATCAGGTGACTCAGGTGCTGCCATTCCCACTTCTTCTTCCTACATGCACAGCCTGGCTCTGTTTCCCATCATCCCTTGCAATCAGGGTGGCAGTGTGAGTCCTGCCAACATGAGGTAGCAGAATGGGTGAGCACTGCTTCCCAGCCCAGCCCATTGCACATTCCCACAATCCTCCATTCTCTCCCCCTCTCTCATGGAAGAGTACAACCCCTAGAAGGAGCACTGAGCCATTAGAAGTAAGGGCCTAGGGGTGATGGCCACCTTCAAGGCAGCCCTTGGACACAGTGCGGGGCTGGACTGTGCAGGAACGGGACACTGCCACTGAATGCATGCACTGCTTCGAGCTCCACACCCAGGACTCAATGACAGTCCTGTCAAGTCCTCCTGATGCTGGTCCCTGGTGGCCCAGGAGCTCTGGAACAATACCACCTGTGTGACTGTTTTCTAGGTCCCTGTGTTCACTCATAGGATGACCTTGGCAAGTCACCTCATATTTCAGTGTCAAAGCTTCACAGTGGGAGGCATGAGCCATGTCCCCCTCCCTGCCATCTCACAGGGACCACAAATGTCAAGGAACCAAAGCAGACACTATTGAAAAGGGTTTATTTTCCAGAGGCCAGGGGCAAGGGCAGAACAGGAAGGGAAGTGGATCCCAGGACACTGAGGGTTCCATTGGCGACCAGCAGGCAGATACCACTTCTAGTGCCTGTGGTTGGCAGCAGATGACCCCAGGCCCTGGGGGCACCTGGGCCCTGTGGGGGACACAGGCAAACTCACTCCCTGCACTTTGGCCCTGAGCCCTCAGCAGCCCTGTGTGGTGGCTGTTGTCATCTTCACCTGTCATCTGAGGCTCAGAGATGTGAATGGTCTCTTCAGGGCCACAGTTCCAACCTCTGCCACACAGTTCTAACCAGGCTCCCTCCAAAAGGGCTGAGCCCATGTCAAGTTCATTCCCTCTCCCTGAGACACTGCTGTCTCCAGGGAGGCACAGACAAGTCCCAAATCCCAGCTCTTAGCCTGGCCCCAATCACCTGAGGGCAGTCTCCACCCAGGCTCCTTCACTTAACTGCATTCTCTCCTCCACACACAGCAGCCATCTGCTTCCTGGTGCCAGGAAAATGCCACCTGTGCACACCCCCTTCCACACCTCCCATTCCTAAAATTCTCTCATTCAGACATTTGGCCTCATATTTACCCTCTTTTCCTATATAAATATAACTGGAACTTATAACACCAAGCCAAGGGAGTCATTGACACCATAGCATGAATTTGGTTAACAGGGGAAGGAGGCAGGGGAAGTGGAGTGGGGCCAACTCTGAAGAGGTTAGTCCAGAGTGTTGGGAAGAAAAAGAGCAAAAGAACCCAACCCATAGAAAAAACGGGGGCGTAAGGTGAATCAGGCGAATGTGGGAATTCACGATTGCCCCAGCTGGCCTCTTTCTAGTGACTGCCCTTTTTTTGTAGGGGGACCTTGCTTTTATTGATTCAGTTTGCAGCCCCTTCTGAACTCTGAGTCTGAGCCAGACTCTGCTCGGTGCTCTGTGCTGGAAGCCAGGGACAGAAGGCCAGGTGAGGACATTGGTCTAACCAGTTGGGGCTGGAGGGCAAAGCCTGAACCTCAAGAATTCCAAGCAGACTGGTCAGATCTATCACGAGCTTCAGGGGGCCAAGGAAGTCTGAGAAGTGAAACTCAGTGGTGTTGAGTGAAGCCCTGGAGGGCAGTGGAACCAGACATGGGCAGGTGGCAGGAAGGACGTTCTGTGTGTCAGCAACCTCTCAGGACAGACTTAGAAGTGGGAATGGGTGACATGGGCTTGGATGGTGAGAAGGGAAGAGGCGCAAAGGTAGGGACAGGGAGGCATCCAGATCTGGAGGATGGGGACCAGGCCAGGGCTCTGATTTCACCTGGAGCAGTGGGGAGCCAGGAAAGGGACTGGCCAGGCTGTGCTGAGTCAGAGGAGGAGTTGGAGGGGTCAGACGGGAGGCAGGCGGGTGTGATGGGGAGGCCTGGCCAAGGTAGCAGCTGCAGGGATAGAGATGAGGGGCGCAGAGAGCTCTGGCAGCAGCTTCTGTTTCGGAGCAGCTGGAAAGGCCAACACCTGGCAAGCCTTCCTGGAGCAGCCAAGGCCATGGTCATAGGGCCCCTCCTTGTTAGCCCAGCTTCCGGAGCATTCTCTTCACCCAAGGCATTCTGGGGTTGGCACAGATCTCCAGGTCCTTGAAGGTTTGCAAGCTGAAGGGAGGAGAGGACAGGGAGGTTCATCACGGTGTTGGCAGGCAGAAACAGTGCCACATACCTTGGGAGCTTAGCATTTATGAACTACCTTCTGTATTTAGGGCTCAGCATTTATGCATCACCTGCTGTATTTGGGAGTCCCTGATACGTGGAGTGTCTCAAAATTTATGAGCCACCTTCTGTATGTTACCTGTTATATGTGAAAGTACTTGCTATATACAGTGTTCAACGTTTGTGAATCACTTACTGAATGCAAACCACATTTCTCAAGGAAAAGAGGATATGAGCCAGAAAGGACTTTCAGGACCCTCAGCAGATGGGAGTCAGTCCTGGCCTTGAGTACTAGGCTAGGCCACGGAAGAGAGTCCTTAGTCTCATAACGTCACAGACACTGCCTTGGCGGGGAGAGCACTGTATAGTGGCCAAAACTCTAGACTTCGGGGTCAGTCTATCTGGGTTCGAATTCTAGCTCTGCCAGTTGTTAGCAGGCCACACCAGGCAGTATTCTGTTTATTCAGCTATTCATCTTCAGGCCCTGGCAAGTTGCTTACACACAGTAGGTGTTCTGCAGTATTTGATGAATGAGGCCCTCATTTTCATTCTTGGTACTCCCAAAAACTGGGTTGAGCTGTCTCCTCCAGCCACACCCGTCCAGACTCCATCCAAAGGCCTCTTTCCGTCACCCCTGCCCCTAGCTACCCCAGGCCACACCTGTCAGGCCCTCCAAGGCTGTGTGGCCCCAGCTCCCTACTCACACAATGCCAGGCCTACGGCAGGAGTCCGAGGTCCAGTAGATACGTTTCACCACAGTCAGGGGCAGAGTGTGGCGGATGTAGTCCCGGCAGCAGACGCTGTCCTCCACGTTGATGCCATATGGACCTGGGAGGGACACCCACACAGAGTTTAGCCTCAGCCCCAGATCCTGACCTCAGGTCATTCAGGCTCCAGGAAGAGATTCTGTTCCATGTGGAAGAGTGGTGCCTGAGATTCTGAGCCCTCAAAAATCCTACCTTGGGGTTCTGAGAAGCCACTAAGGGCCCAGTGCCTATACCTGCAAGGGTCAGCTCTAGGTGATGGATTCTGAGCAACTGAGCATCAAGGTACCCTCGGCTTCTAGAAGGGTCTCGGCCCCTCTGAGCCATAAGGTGCTTTACAGGCTTGCTCTGTGGGGGAGGGGGTCTATGGAAAAACAGTATGAGCTCACCTGGGAGCAATTCACAGGAGCTCTCCCCCCGCAACACCCCAGACCTGCAAATCCCATGCAACATAGCACTGAAAGTCGCTTCTGCTCACATCTACTGTACTCCTCCTAGGTGTACTGGCAAAGCTAGAGTCCAGAGACGTGGAAGCACTGGTCTAGGTCACACAATGAGACTGTGGCATAGCGAGGACCAAGGCTCAGATGGGAGACGACACACAGACCTGCCAGCTTGGCTAAGTGGTTTAACATCTCTGAGGCCCAATTTCCTCCTCTGATCAAGACAGTAATACTGCCGACTTCATGAGGCCGGGCTAGGGCAGCTCAGGATACCCAGGGCTTGGGGGCCACTGTGGGTAACGGCTCTCAGTGCTCATTCCTCTGCCCATCCCAGAGCAGAGGCAGCTGCAATGTGGAAGAGAAGAGGGGTCAGGCGCCCCTGTGTTAAGGACAGGCTCCAAGGCAAATCTGAGGTGCTAAGAAGGCAGTACCAGTTTCCGAGGGAGGATCCCATAGCCTGGCTCAGCTTTGCCCCTCTCAGGCCTGACCCCGTGGGGGCTCTAGTGTTGCAGGAGGGCTCAGAGACTGAGAGAACTTTCAGGAAGCAAGTTAGGTAAGCAAGCCAGCCGCGACTCAGTGGACTCGTGTCCAAAGGCTGAGCCCTGAGCACAAAGGGGGCTTTCCTTAAATACCACTTAGAGCAGGTTACAGAAATGGGGGAGGGGTAACAACTTGTTCCACACATAATCACATGTTATTTCATTGGCTGTTTGAACCTCTGAGGCGAGGTGACCCTCCTCTGGTCATCAGGTAATAGTCCCCAACTCCGGTTTTCCTTTGTTTTACTGTAGCACTCATTGATCTCTCTTCTCCCTCCCTGCCTTCCTGCCACACTACATCTAAACCCCAAGATCCTATGTCCCAGCTGTGTGGGATAGGAGATCCCGGGGCCTTTCCATCACAACCCCCCAATCCAGCTGAGACAGGTCCTAGAAACAAGAATGCCCATTTAGGGCTGGTGGAGTGGCTCAAGTGGTAGAGTGCCTGCCTAGCATGCATGAGGCTCTGAGTTCAAACACCAGTACCACCAAAAAAAAAAAAAAAAAAAAAGAATGCCCATTTAAAGCCGGGCACTGGTGGCTCATGCCTGTAATCCTTAGATACTCAGGAGGCAGAGATCAGGAGGATCGTGGTTTGAAGTCAGCCCAGGCTAACAGTTCACAGGACCCTATCTCGAAAAACCCATCACAAAATAAGGAGCTAGTAGAGTGGCTCAAAGTCTGGGCCCTGAGTTCAAATCCCAGTACCACAAAAAGGAATGCCCATTTTACCGATGTGTAAACTGAGGTTAGCAGTGCCCTCAAGCTTTAAGCTAGGCCTCCTTTCCAGAGGAAAGTTGGGCTGTGAACCCATTTCCCCAAAGCCAGAGAGCCAAGGGCAGATTAGGTTCTTTTCCTCTTGGTCCAACTTTTTTCAGCAGAGAAGGAAGACACCTTTGTATCTAGCCCTAGCCTCCACAGCCCCTCCCGTACCCAGCCTCACCTGCATTGGTTGCTGGAAACACTACTGAAAGCAGGATTAGAGCTGCCAGGAGTGGACCCTGCAGGTTGGCCATGCTCTGTGCTGATCCCAGGTCAGGTGTCTATTCACCAGAGGACAGGGAGGCTTGGTATTTAAGCACAGCCTCCACCCACCCACCTGCCTCAGACCTCTCTTAGTCACGGTCAGCCTGGAGTGTCTGACATTCATGAAAGAAGAAGTCCTGGTTCCTCTGATTGGAGGAATGTGCTGGCGGGGAATCACTCAGAGGGCACCCCCACCCTGCGCTACCTCCAGGTCTCTAGAGACGTGTGAAATCCCCTCAGGCTGGGTTCTTGGCGGCATGCTCCCCAGAGCCTGTTCACTGTGTACTCTCTGGGACTGGGCTTCCCCGAGTGGAAGTGGGGAGGCAAATCCACAGCCCAACCTGTTATCTCAATGGCCATTTACAAAGGAAGAGAGAAGGGAGGCCCAGCTTACAGCTTAAGGTATCGTGGCCCATGAAGAGAGGCCTATGGACCAGGAGGTTGATCTCTTGGCCCCCAACCAGCCTCTTCTGGGGTTTCTCAAAGAATCTCAGTCTGCAAGTTGTAAAGAACTTTCCCCCACCCCCATACCTCTGTCTTCATGTACTCAGTCCTTTTTTCAGACTCAAAGCAGCATGTGCCTCCCTCTCTCCTACTTCCAAACCTTGCTGTGGCTCCCCATCCTAACAGTAGAGCCCAGGCTCCTGACTACAGCCTTCAAGGCCTCCTTTCCAGACATGTCCCCAACAGTCTCTATCCCCACTCTACTCACAGTTCCTCAAAGAGTTCTGCAGCTTTGGGCTGGCTGCAAATGGCACTTTCCACTTCTCTACCACAGAAACTCCTACTCGTGAGTCAAGAGCTTGAAATGTCACCTCTTTGGCAAGCCCTTGTCTCAGAACTTCACATTCTCTGGGTGACCTGAAACATGACCCCAAGGAGACTACATCAGGCTCTGTCCTTCCCGGATCCTCTTCAGATTCTTCTTTTATTTTTCCTGGCATTCCCTGGGTCCTCCAAGGATCAGGCACATGGTAGGAGCTCAGAAGGAAGAAACTGAGGCTTGGAGCAAGAGGGGCTTCCTGAAAGTTCCACAGCCACCTGGTACCTGAGCCAGGCCTAGAACTCGAGACTCAGAATTCTGTTTGTAAGGACCTGTCCACTTATTCTTTCACTCATTCAATGTACAGTAACCCATGGGAGAATAACGGCCCCCTAAAAATGACCACGTCCTAATCCCCAAACCTGTGGCTATGTTACTTTACGTGGTAAACAGGACTTTGCAGAGGTGATTAACTTAAGGATCTTAAAATAGGGAGATGTCCTGGGTGGTTTGGGTGGTACAGAGTTATTGCAAAAGAGAAGCAGGGCTCAGGGTCAAAAGAGGAGACAGATGACAGAGCAGAGGTCCCAGTGGTGCAGGGCTAGGAGCCCAAGGGTGAACATGGCCTTGAGGGGCTGGAAAAGGTGAGGGAAGGTGAGGATTCTCCCCCAGAGCCTACAGAAGGAACGTGTGCTGCCCACCCCTCCATTGCTTGAGGGAGATTGACATCAACTTCCAACCTCCTGAGCTACTCCCTGATAAAGGTGAGTTAAGTCACAGTGCTTGTGGTAATGTGTGCAGCACGAGGAAATGGATACAAGCACCTATCATGTGCCAGCTGGGCTGCCAGGACCTAGGGACACAGCCCTCAACAGGAGGGCAGAGGTCCCCAAATTCATAGCATTTGCCTGTGTGATGAACAGCAATCAGACAATTGCCAAACAAGGGAACATCCGGCTGCGATCGGTGTGGTGAAGAAAATGAAACAAGGAACAGACAGACCACAGGGAAGCAGCGCTGGGGACAACAGACAGGAAAGGCCTCATTAGAGCGTGATATTGGAGCTGAAGTCTGAGCAGCAGGCGGAAATGGTGGTGCAAAGGCCCTGTCAGGGTGAAAGGGCTGAGCAGGTGGCCAGAGGGGAGAGGCTGCCCTGCAGGAGCTGACAGGTGGCCAGGAGCCTCCTCCCGGTAGTACAGACTATGACGGGTGAGCGTCACCTTGGAGGACCTCTGTCAAAGGCAGTTTCCCAAGGACAGACACTGTCTGATTCCAGTGCCCCCAGGTCCCACAGCAGTCAGATGCACAGGGCCAGCACGGGGAGGGGGTGCCAGGGGTTGGGGACAGGGAAGGGCATCAGTGTTCAATGAGGACAGAGTCTCAGTTTTGCCAGATTCAAAGCTCAGGATGGAGGATGGTGACAGTCGCACAAGCATGCAAACACGCTGAATGCCACAAAATTATACACTTAACAATGGTTAAAATGGAGCTGGGGTGTCAGTGGCTCAGCCTGTAATTCCAACTATGCAGGAGGCAGAGATCAGGAGGATCGCCATCTGAAGCCAGCCCAGGGAAACAGTTCATGAAACATTATCTTGAAAAAAACCCTTCACAAAAGAGGGCTGGAGGAGTGGCTGGAAAGGAGGCCCTGAGTGAGCATACTTGATGCACATTGTACATAAGGACCATTGTGTGCTTAAAAATAGTTACAATGTATGTATGTTTACCAATTAAAAAAAACAAAAACAAAAAAACTCCCCCAAAGCAAATCAAGCCTCTAGCACTATTTTCCAGGTTTTAAAAAACACAGGAGCTGGGAACAGTGTCACCCCTGTAGTCCTGGCTATTGGGGAGGCTGAAGCAGGAAGATTGCTTGAGCTCAGGAGTTCAAGGCCAGCCTGGGTATAACATAGTGAGATCCAGTCTAAAAAAGAAAACAAAACTACACGAAGTAAAAGAAACAGATAAATAACGCCATAAGAACACAAACAACCCCAAAAGGTGGGACCTTCAGATCTTCTACAAGACAACTGTCCTAGGGTCATCAAAAAGTTAATGTTTAAAAAATGTTAAGTGAGTCAAAATAATCAGGATCAAAAGAGACTTACGAGGCCTAACAGCCTAGCTGCAAGCTGGTGGCTCATACCTGTAATCCTAGCTACTTGTGAGGCTGAGATTGAGAGGATCACAGTTTGAGGCCAGCAGAGGCAAAGAGTTCATGAGACCCCTATCTCCAAAACAACCAGAGCAAAATAGACTAGAAGTGTGGTTCAAGTGGTAGGGTGCCTGCTTTGCAAGCATGAAGCCCTGAGTTCAAACCCCAGTCTCACAAAAAAAAAAAAAAAGCCTAACAGCCAAATGTACCAGGGGGCCTTGATCAAATTCTAGTTTTGAAACAGCTGTGAAAGACATTTTGAGAACAACTAGGGAAATTTGAATATAGACTAGATATTGATATTGGGGCTTTATTGTAGACTTTTTTTGGTGCATTAAAGACTTTAAACGTCCGTGGCAGAATTGTCATGGTTTTAGGAGCTGTACACTGAAAAACTTAGGGGTGAATGTCACTTTGACCTTAATTTCAAAGGGTTTGGGGAGAAAATGCATGTGTGAGCATGTATTTGTAGAAGTGCATTACGTATACATGTGTGTATGTACACATATGACTGTTAAGTCAAATGCAGATGTGTATACATAAATTGCTGTGTGGTTAGTGTTTTTTGGTGGTACTGGGGTTTGAACTCAGGGCCTTGCACTTGCCGTGTATTTAGTATGTGTGTCTGTGCACGTACACGTACAGTGACAGATGTATGTGAAATGTACACATATGAATGTGAATAGCCATGCATGTGTATGTATGTGTGTGTCCCAGAGAGAGACAAGGAGAAACAAAGCAAAAATGGCAAAAGGAAGCACCGAACAACATTGATGTTCAGTGGTGAATATTCTGCTGCTCACTGAACCACTCTTAATAACTTTCCTGAATATTTAAACGTGTCATGCCTGTAATCCCAGCACTCAGGAGGCTGAGGCAGGAGATCAGTAGTCTGGGCTACCTAGCAAGGCCCTGCCTCAAAAAACAAAACAACAAAAATGCGTCATGTTTAAAAAAAAAAAAAATCTTTTTGAGAGCATTTTGCTCTGTTGCCCAGGCTGGGCTCAAACTTCTGGGCTCAGTCAATCCTCCACGTGGCCAAGGAATATTGCTTTAAAAAAAATTATCATATTATTATTATACTGGGGGTACATTGTGACATTTACAAAAGGAATCTTTTTTAAGTGTGGAAGTCATCCTGCGGTGAGGGACAGAAGTAGCTGTGGTTCTTCCTCAACCTTGGGGTTTTCTCTTGGCCACTCTAGGGCTGCGATCCCTCCATGAGTGGGTTCCCAGGAGTGCCCCCTGGACAGTCCCTGGTCCCCAGAGACTTGGCTGGCCCCAGGCCTCTCCTCTTGGCCTAGCCTATGCAGCAGCATCAGCCCCTATCCCCTTTGCCTGGGCTGGAAGGAAGGTGAGCCACACCTGACGCCCGGGGGCCTCAGCCTGCTCCAGTGCCCTGAATCCCCCTGGAGGAGGGCAGGCAACAAGTTCAAGGAGCCCTGGGTGCCAGGACAGGGCACAGTGGACTATTTTTCCAAGAAAGGAAGGGGAGTTCCTCTTTGGGTGGGGGCATTAGGAGGAAGGGAGGATGTTCTGATGCAGGGGAGTCTTCCTTCCTCACGTCGGTGGTTACACTGTCCTTTCTGCTCCCTGTGGGCTGTGAAGTCTCTCAGGTCCAATCCTGTTACTCCAACCTTCCTTCTTTTGTTTAAATTAATTTTTGTTTTGTAAATAATATGAAGCCAGGAGCAGTGGTTTGTGCCTGTAGTACAGGCTACTTGGGAGGCTGAGGTAGGAGGACCACTTAAACCCAGAAGTTCAAAACCAATCTGAGCAATATTGAGAGGCGCCATCTAAAAAATAATTAATTAATTACATAAAGATAGAAACATTCCAAATATCCAGTAAGTAACAAATGGACAAACTGTAGCATATACACCCACTGGAATGTCACTCAGCCTTAAAAAGGAAGTAAATTCTGACACATGGATGAACCTTGAGAATATTATACTAAACAAAATAACCCAGTCACGAAAATAAAAATACGACATAATTCCACCTCTAGGAAGGTCCTAGAGTCACCAGGTTCATAGAGACTAGAAGTAAAATGGAGTTGACAGGAGCTCAGG